GATGGGCAACACAGTTGGTTCCATGTTCTTGCTATTGTGAACAATGCTGCAATAAACATATATGTGCAGGTATCTTTTTTATAGAGTGATTGGAGTTCTTCCAGGTATATTCCCAGTAGGGGGATTGCAGGGTCATATGGAAGGTCAATTTTTAGAACTTTTAGGAATGGCCACACTGTTTTCAACAGAGGCTGTACTAGTTTACATTCTCACCAACAGTGTAGAAGTGTTTCCTTTTCACCACATCCTCTCAAGCATCTGTTGTTTTTTGAGTTATTGATGATGGCCATTCTGACTGGCATTAGGTGGTAGCTCAGTGTGGTTTAATTTGCATTTCTTTGATGACTAGTGAGGCTGAACATTTTTTCATTTATCTGTGGCTACTCGTATGTCTTCTTTTGAGAACTGTCTATTCATAACTTTTGCCCACTTTTTAATGGGGCTGTATGTTTTTTTTCTTTTCAGCATGTTTGAGTTCTCTGTAGATCCTAGATGTTAGGCTTTGTCAGACATAGAGTTGGCCAATATTTTTTCCCAGTCTGTGAGCTATCTCCCTGCTCTCGTGATGGTTTCTTTGGCTTTGCAGAAGCTTGTCAGTTTGACAAGGTCCCACTTGTCTATCTTATCTCTTATGGCATGGGCACTTGGGATTTTGATCAGGAATTGGTTGCCAGTTATAATTTCCATAAGAATGTCTCCTGCATTTTCTAGATTTTAAGTCTCCTGACTGAAATTTGAAAAATACCATACTGCTGCTCATCCAAATCTTATTGATGTGTCGCATATGCATACATGCAGCCATAAGAATATAGTAAGACTTGGAGTTGGCATATGTGGTAATACCTCTCACATTTCAGTTTTCTAGCAATACATTAAAATCACTAGAAATAAATTATTATATTAGTTATTAAGAGAAGGTATCTACTTAGAGAAACTTGAAGGAGGTTTAAGGAAAAATGACAAATGCAACTTGTGACCTTGGATTGGATCTCAGACTAAAATCAGGGCATTAGTAGAACACTTCTACATAGTTGGTAGGAATGTAAATTAGAACAACCCCTGTGGAAAACAGTGTGATGATTCCTAAAAAATCTAAAAATTTACCTACCATAAGATCCAGAAATACCTCTTCTGGGACTATACCCAGAACAACTCAAATCATTCTACAAAAAAAGACAACTTGCACACACATGTTTATTGCAGCATTATTCACAATAACAAAAACATGGAATCAACTGTGCTGCCCACCAAAAGTGACTGGATGAAGAAAATGTAAAACATATACACAATGGAATATTATGCAGCCATAAAGAAAAACAAAATTATGGATTCTACAGCAAATTGGATGGATTTAGAATCCATAATATTCAGGGATCTACCACAGAAACAAAGATCTGAGTACCACATGTACTCACTTAGAAGTGGACCCCTAACATTTATTATAATACTACAAGAAAGGAATTGGCAGCAGTGGGACATTGTCAGGGTGGGGGAACACACAACAACAATAAGGGTACCCAATCTCAAACCAGGTGAAGTGGGGACCAAAGGGGGCCCAAACTTTACCTGTGTGATGACCACATTTGTATCTAACCCTGAATTGTACCCCACATTTTTCCCGTGTGCTTCATATTTGTCTGAAAGGTTTTCTAGTGTAAGATAACTTTTTAAATCATGTAATTACAGCATTTAAAAAATTTGTTTTATATCTTATGTCCTTTATAGTTATATGAATTTATATCCCATCCACTTACAAAAAAGGCTTAAGACAATGCATTTATATTTGGGTAGCTAATCCAAGTGTAGTTTAGGATAATTTTATACCCTTAGAGATTCCATCATCTTCTTGTCAAGCTGCATGGAGAAGAATGTATCATCATCTCTTTTGAATTCTTGCCAAAAATATACAACTTGAATTTAATGACAAGGAAGCATATTATAAACACAAATTCAGAGATATTTCTACAAGATAATTTGTCAATATCCTCTAAAAGTAACAAGTTTGTGAAATACAAAGCAAAATGGAGGAACTAATCAAGTTTAAAAGAGATTTAAAGAAAAATGACAAATGCAACCTGTGATCCTGTATTGGATCTCAGACTAAAAATAGGGCATTAATAGAACAACTTACAAATTTGAATAAGGTCGATTAGATCATAGCATTGCATCAAAATTAATTCCTAATGTTGGTAATTGTATGGTAGTTAAATAAGCTAATAACCTCTAGAGCATCTCATTGAAGGGTAAAAAAATACTCTTGTAAGTATTCTATAACTGCCTCTACACATCACACAAACTTATAGAGTGAATGAAGAAGATGTAAGGGAATTTGAAGAAGACTTTCTCAAGTGTTATTTAAAAAAAAAATTGTAACATAGTGTTAATGAAACAGGGTTAGTTCCAAAAGAGTAGACTAAAAATATATTAAGACTCATATTCATATGTTGTAATTGGTACTCACTTCATCAAATGTAAAATCCTCTAAATCTATTTCTTCATATTCTTCCTCAGATTCTTCATTCTTAATAGCCTCTAGAGCTGTTGTCAGTTTCTTTCGCAAAATAAAGCCCTTCCAAAAAGCCTAAACAAAAATTTTAAGTATGTTATACAAGGTTATAGATCAAACTACAAACCAGATTCTTTGTGTTATCCTATTAGGAAGATAAAACATCTCAGACCTCAGTTTAATGGCTCAATAGTCTGTTTTTTGAACTTTTTGTGACACTTAAAACTACAAGATAAATTAAACAACTGCATGTGTCTAAAGTTCTGAATCTCAGGAGACTTTTCCTGTGGTAAGCAGAAAAGAATCTTTCAAACTCCCTCAACTGTACATGTAGGTCAACCAATCAATTATATGATAATTCCTCCAGGATCTATCCTAAACTAAGAAGAAAGAGATACAAACGAAAGCCAATTTTGCTAATTTTCAAATGATTATGTATGAAACAAGATAAAGTACACTTAAAAACATTTTTCAATACATTAAACAAAGAATAACAGAATTAAAAAATTTAGATTTCTCAATAATCCTTGAGTAGGAAACACTCACTCAACTATAACTTCAAGTACAATACAGCTTTTAACAAATAAATATTTTCATATACTTTTAGGGAGTAAGCTTCAGGATATATTAAGTGTAAAAACTAAGGAAGTAAGAAGTGTGTTTTACACTCCACTGATTATGAAAAGTTATATATAAGCGTATATATTGCATAAACACATATAAAAGTATATATGCATATGTGGTTGCTTACGTTTAGAAGTGAAAGTATAAGTGACAAAATTAATTTTTAAAATGATCACCTATAAAGGCAGGAAACAGGGCAGAAATACAGCAATAAAAGTCAGACATTTGTAAATATACCTTACTTAGGTTTGACTTTGGAACCATGCAAATACTTAAGATTATTGTAAAACAAAATTAAATAAACATAAAATATAAAATAAATACTTAAAAAATATATTTCATGCTGTGGGGACAATCACACATTCCTAGTGAAATATAATCAAAAGACAAATTTGGCTGCAAAATGTCTTAAAATTATTTTCAGTAATCATATTGTTAGTCATAAGATTGACATTTTTATTCTAAAAAAATAGATATATACAAAATACATACACATATACAATTATATATAAAATATACAAATAGTGTATACACACACACACACATACAGGGAGAGGAAGAGAGAGAAAGAGAGGTAAAATATACAAAATGACCGGACCATATATAACAATAGAAATCACTCATAACCTTTGTAGCAACCAGCCTAAGAAGCCAAATCATAACCTCTGCAACAAAAAATCCAAGAAGCAAAATCACAACATCTACAGCAAATATCCAAGAATGATCAAGCCCTGGGGTCATCAAGTCAATGACCCCAGCTTCCCTGTTTTTGTCCCTACTTCTAACTCAGAACCAACCAGAGAAAGCCAAATATGCTTCCAAAACCAATTGCATAGGATGCGCCACTGCTAGTCTCTCTCCACTCACCTCCCCCATACCAACAACTTCCAATCAGAGCATAGCTGGTTTTCCCTTCATTTCAGTATAAATTAACTTTTCCCACTCCATTCGCTGTCTTTGAGTTCATGCCAAAGACAAGTGATAATGGCTAACTCCTTTGCTATGGCACACTCGAACCAGCAGTCCATCTTTTTCTCCCTTGTGCGGTCTTTGTTTATTTCCACTGTGTTATGTGGGTACACACCCACCATACGAACACACACAGGGTTGGGAGAGTGAAAGGAGAAAAAAAAAGGCAATATGTTAATGTCATTAGAAACCAGGATTTTCTACAAATATATATAAATCCTATCATTCTAAATGTAATTTTAAAATATCTGTATATATCCATGATACATGCCTTTCTTAAAAATATATATTTACAAGCTAAGAACATGGAAAAAAATAGAAAATAATGACCATTCCAGTAGCAACAAGTACTCCAAAAATTCAGATGAGGGTCTCTTTATACCATCCCTACTAAAAGAACCAAGGATCTTTGGAAAAATGACTGATTCCAGATCTGGGGCAAAAATATACTAAATGAATCTACATCACTGTGTCACACTAGAAAGGAAGGACAGTTTAAAGCCTACTGATTAGTGTCAATAAAGCTAACTTGAAGAGACTACCACTGACCAAATAAGAGACAACTTGAGCAGCAATAAGAATAATAAGTGCAAAGGGAATTAAACACATAATATGTTTAAATAATGTATATGTTCATTATCCTAGTAAATATTACTGTGACCTCTGGAGGATGCTAGGAGATCTCATTAATTTAAAAATTGGTTCATCCCTTGAAGCTAATTTTTAAATTATCAAGATCTCCAAAGTCAAATGTTTCTTTAAAAAAGCAGTATGGTGATTTTTCAGAGAACTAGCAAGTTACCATTCAACCCAGAAATAGCACTCCTGAAAATATACCTAGAGGAACATAAATCGCTCTACAAAAAAGACACCCGCATTCGCATATTCATTGCAGCACTACTCACATCAGCAAAAACATGGCAAAAGCCCAGATGCCTTTTGAAAGTGAACTGGATAAAGAAAATGCGTTACATATACACAATGGAATACTACACAACCATAAAAAAGAACAAAATTATGTCCTTTGCAGCAACATGAGTGCAGTTGGATAACATCATTCTAAATGAACTCTCACAAAAACAAAACACCGAATACTGCATTTTCTCACTCATAATCAGGAACTAAACATTGGGCACATTGGCACAAAGGTCAGAACAACAGACACTAGGCTAAAGAAAGTAGGAAGGGAGGGGGGATAAGGGACACACAAGCACCCACTGGGTACCATATCCACTACTTGTGGGGAGAGGGCTCACTTTGAAGCCCAAACCTCGTCTTCATACAATTTACTTATGTAGCAAATTCTCACATTTACCCCACAACTCTAAAATAAAATTTAAAAGCAAACTAAAAAAAAAATGGCAAACAGTGGGAAAATATCAAGCATTTAACCTGATTTTCCAATATACAAACTGAACCTCAGGATAGCTAACTAGTTGAGTCAAGTTTTTCTGTACAGACATACTTTAGTTAATAAATGAAGGTGTAGTAGATATAAAATATTACCTTTTCAAATCATTAATAAAGTAATTGATGTGGGGCAATGATCACTAAGATTTCTGAAAGAGAGGCAACCAAACATTATGTACCTCTTTGTTGATACGTTCATAACTTCCTATGAAATGTTCTTGCTAACAAACCAAACCTGAATCAGATCAAACATTACCTCTTCCTGTCAATTTACAGAAAACAAGGGGTCAAAAAACATGTTAAATAATGTAATTGAAATGCATTTGGTAAAATTCACAAATTAGAAAACTACAGGATAAATTACCTTGTTTCTTTAGTAAATACATTGCGAAAAAGAGGGGGATACTGCTATATAATAAAGGACGTTAAGTAACATATAAAACCAAAGGTACAGTGATGACCTTGTTCTTATTTTGAAAAATCTGAAACACACATCTATAAAACAGTAGAGGAAATTTACATACTGATATGATATTTGGTGATATTGAAACATAATTGTTATTTTTATGTTTGCTAGTTACTGCAGCTATATTTGAAGCAATAAGCCTTATAGAAGTTCATACTAAAATATTTATTAAAGGAATAATTTATTTCAAATAATCTAGTAATGCAAGGGAGATGTGGACTGGTTATAAAAGAGTCAGTACTGGTCAGTAGTTTAACTCATGTTAAAGGTGGGTAAGGGAACACCTGGAATTTTTCCATATATTTGAAATGTTCTGTAATAAAATGTTTAGAAATTCACAGATGGTGCAGCTTTCCTTTTTTTTTCACAATCAACATAATTACGTGAAGTCAGAAATCAAGCTTTACTGCTTAAAATTAAGTGATATTTCAAGTTTCTTTTATTAGTTTTTATTCATAATTTCAAATAATTAGACATGAATGCTATTCTTAAAGAGACTGCAGAAAAACCCAGTATTCTTCTGTGAATCCTATCATGCACAAATCTGGAATTGTAAATGAGTGGCATACATTTTGAAATTAATTGAATGTCTATTGTATGCCATGCACAGATGGTAGAGTAATGACTAAACAGACTAAAATCTCTAAACATGAACTTTCAATTCTTATGGAGGAGGGTGGAAACTAAAAATAAATAAAAAATATGCCATATGCTACATACATGCTATGGGTAAAAATAATTCAGTAACAGGTGATGGGGGGCATTGGGGAAGGATTGCTATTTTAAATAGGGTATCTCAAGAAGCCCTCACTGTGTATTGAACATTTAAATATATATATGCATAATGGATTCAGTGGGCTACCAACCTAAGGATACCATCAGGAGATAAAATGAATTGCCTAAAAACTCTTCCTTATATCTTTGTTTTAGCTCAAAATCAGGGAAGCAAGATTTCTGCAGTAGCCCACAACAGCTGTCTTCCATGCATCATTTCTCATTCTGTGACCTATACTGGTCATTCAGTACTCAGATAAATTAGAAGCTGTGCCATAACCTCTACTGCTGCCAACATTCTTGGGCCCATGGTCCTGGGCAGGAGTTGGAAGATGTTGATACAGGCAGACACACAATGCCTCAGTGTGCCACTACTGGATCTGAAACTACAAGTTTTTCACAAGTGGTGAACCCAGGACTTAATTATGCTTATCAATAGCCTCCTTTCTCTGATATAGTATAGTGGGGATTTTCCTTTCCTGTTCTGTGATAAATACTTGAACCTTTCAATGTTGTCTTCTTTAGTCTCTAAAAGCTGAAGAAACGCAGGTTTCCAGGAATAGGTTCAGTCATCTACCCTTTCTGGGTGGCAATGACACTAGTAAAGAGGCTAATTCTCCATAGTTTCACTCCTCTACCCATCCAACATGACTGATCTGAACATTTAATATTCCTTCTCAAACTCTGAAACTTCCTTCCCAAAATTTCTTTGTGTGCTGCTCCTTCCATCCCTGGTCCCACTTTCTCTTCACAGAAGCAATGTGCTTCAATAAAACCTCATCTATCTCAATAGGCTCTTTTTTTCCTCCTTTTTGCCAAATGACCTTAGGAG